TGAGGTAGAATATAATGAGGTAGAATAATCATAGAGTTGTGAATTTCTTTCGCCTTCAACTTTCTATATGAAGAATTTGTTGTCATTTTTCGCCCTTCTTAGCAGGACACAGAGTCTTTGTTATTTCATAGCACTGTCCTTTGCCCATTGTTGTCTCCCCTCTCCTAGTGGAAAATTGAGATTTGTAAAACCTACTTAACTTTTTTCTTTTTTCATATGCTATTCACAGGCAGAGGAGCCTGCATAGTTAAAATATGTGGTATGTACTTTCATTATTACTTTTATTTTATTACTACATTTATTGACATCATATTAGAGATGACTTTTTGTTTCAAGTTTATCACAAAGCTATTTGTGTATATTTTAATTCTTGCCCTAGTCCTCAATTGACAGGTTGTAATTATGGCAAGTGTAGGAGAAAAAGAATAAGAAATGTCAAGAAGCGAATAGCACAATTGTTATCATATTTTAGAATTTATAAACTACTTTCTTCATACATAACCTTATTCAATTCTTACTCTATTCTAGGATATTAACTTTATAGAGAGTAGGCAGCTGAGACTGGAATAATTAAAAAATTTACCCAGGATCACAAAGCTAGGATCTAGCAAAGTCAGGACTTAAACTCAGGTCTTCCAATTCCTAGTCAAAGATTTTTTTTCCATTATACATTGACAACTTGTTATAGAGGGTATGCAATATTTTAGCATACTCTAAAGTGGAGTGTGGTGGATAAGAACATAGACATAGGCTTTGGAGTCAGGTAGACCTGGGTTTCAATACTTGCTGCTACTTTTTAGCTGTGTACCATGAGAAAGTTGCTTAACATTTCTGAGTCTCAATTTTTTCATATATAAACTAGATATAATAACAAATTAGATCTTCCTTTCAGAGTTATTCAAGAAGATTAATAAGAGAACACATGTGTAGCCCTAAGTAAGATGCCTGGATCATAAGATCTCTATAAATAGTAATCATCATGGGTAAGTACACAGGCAGTGAGTGAACTGGCTGCTATAGTTTCATGCTTCCTAGTTTCAGTTATGGTGGAAAGAATTTTTTTTCTTGCTATTAGACATCTAGGTATAGTAGTCTCTCAGAAGGGAAATAACTTATTGCTTCGAATGTTTAATGAAAGGAAAGGGGGGTGGTATATAGAGTCATTGAGTTTGTGACAGGCTAAAAGTGACAAAAAAGCACA